TTAAATTACAAATTGTACTCACCCTCCTATCCTGTACTGGACTACTATTGTAAGATCTCCCTCTTCTATGATCAGTATTCCTTCCCCAAGTTCGCAATCTTTTCCTAGAGTCACATACACTTTCAGGTCTACTTTCAGAATTCATCTTGTATTTTCTCCGGCTTTCCACATTTTTACCTCATTTTGCCAATCTAAGAACCCAACTCCTGCCCCTCATTGTACACATTTAGCCAATGTTTCTATTTGCCAGCAGCTTTCCCTCCTGTCCGTATAATGGTGGAAATCCTCCATCCACTGGCACTAACACTTTGGTTCCAACTTTTGTTGTAGTCCTCTAGTACGAGTAGTCTTGTTCTGTGCCTGACTTTGTCCATATTCAGTCAGCCCTTCATCTGCCATGATCAGGTTTTCATAATTATCCAGTGTAGCTAAGTGAATGATGTCCAATTACTTTTTGTGACTTGTTCAGATTCTGTAAGTGTGTAAATAGTGCCAGTTAAGCTCCAGAAATGTGCCCTAACAGTTTAGTTCTCGTGCTGTATAATCACGATTTTTCGATCACTACCTATGACCTTACCTGAAGGTGTCCACTCTTTCTTCCCTTTTCTTTTGTAGAATACCATATTTACTGTATTAATATGTATTTCTGATTGACTTGTATGGTTCTTTAAAACTTACTGAATTTTTGTCTGAAACCTCAGCCTTAACTAATGTCCTTTTCCCTGCATTCAAGGGATTCAAACTCAGAAAAAGTGGAGCTAATTGTAGTCCCTTCCCAAACTGGGGAATGATGACTTATTACTGAGGGAGTTTTTTGTTTATCACAAAAAAACAAAAATCAATATGAACTTTAACACACAACTATTTCTTATTGCAATGCAATGTACATGTTAGTTTACAGCTTGGTTGATCTATTAAGATTTTATGAAACATTTAATTTGTTATCACATGATTTCTTTCAGACCCTCCATTACTAAAGGGTCTTTCTGCCGTCCTGTTCATTGCTACAATATTAATATTTCTCACACATCCCTAAGTTTATCATTGGCACGTTCCCCGTTGTCAGTTAGGAATTTAGCCAGTGCCTTATAGTTTAGACCACTGTTACTGTTTTCTCTTTACTGTTAGTTATTGTAGACCGATTAGTTCGAGATGCAAAGTCTTTGAAATACAAAAATCTTTTTCCTCATTCCACGTTTATTAGCAACAAACTTTATTATAGTTGTAGCAATGGGCGACTCAGTGTGAGCCATGATTGAGGCTGTCCATTTTTTTAATATATATCTCATTTATCACTGATTTCATCTAGACATTTGTTGTACATATTGTTCCTTACTCCTTAAGTTTTAGAATAATTAGCCCTTTTTCCTTTTAAAACCCTAGCTCCTAATGCCAATAATACCATCTTAATGTTTCGACTAGAGAAATTTGTTCTTCTGAAGGGAATATAAGTGTTCAGATCGTGTAAACTGTAAATCCACTGACTTCCAAAAAACAATTTCCTTGCCAAATTACATGTCCAGTTTCATTTGAGCTTTTTTCTCCAATGGCATGTTCAACAGTAATGATATTTCACTTGGCACTGCATCTGTGCTGATAAAGTAGTTTACCCAGGCTACTTTACATTCTTGTTAGCGGTTTCAGCGTGCTGTCATCCCAAACCTGAACCAGGTAGATCTCTCTGATTCTTCAACCTTACTTTAATCATTATTTTTAAGAATCCAGGTAATATTTCAACCCATCCACTTCCCAGATTGTAGATGTGTATCTAGACTTAACACAACACAGTTGCACTCTGCCTGCTCTCTGTCTGATCTGTGTCAACTTCTTCTGAACCTTCCATGTCACTCTTATTCCTGGACAGCATAATAGCCAAGACTTTGATATAGAGAGCACAATTTCAAAAGTTGCAAATGACACAAAATTTGGAATTATTGCATGATGAGGATAATGTTAAACTTCAGCAAGATACCAGATGGTTTGGTGGGTTGGGCAAGTGATAGATTAAATTTAATGGAGAGAAATGTGAGTTGATTTATTTAGGTAGCATGATTGTGAAGAAACAATATAAAATAAAGGGTACAATTCTAAAGTAGATGCAGCAGCAGAGGGAATTGCAAAATTATATGTGCACAAATCATTGAAGGTGGCACCGCAGGTTGACAGCATGATTAATAAAGCATACAGGATCCAAGGTTGATAAAAGGGGCCATACAATACCAAAGCAAAGAAGTTATGGTAAACCTGTATAAACCGCTGGCTCTGCTTCAACTGAGTACCACATTCATTTCCAGGCACACCACTTTGGGAAGAATGTGAAAGCATTACTGAGGGTGGAGAAAATATTTATAGAAGCTGTTCCAAGAATGAGGAATTTTGGTTAGGATGATATAGAGCAGTTGGGATTGTTTTTCCTGGAGAAGAGAAGATTGAAAGATTTGATACAGGTATTCAACTTCATAAGCAGACTGCAACAGAGTAAATAGAAACGATTCTCATTGGAGGAAGGACCAAGAACCAGAGGGCACAGATCTAAAGTAATGGCAAAAGAAGCAATATATTCTTGAGAGAATTTTCTTTTCATGCAGTGAGTGATTTATGATCTGAAGTTCATCACTTGAGAGTGGAGACAGATTCAATCTTTGCTTTCAAAGGGAATTGAATAATTGTAGGAAAAAGAAATCTGTGGCCTATGAGGAATAACATAGAACATAAATCAGTTCAGAACAGCAACAGGCCCTTTGTCTCATCATGTTTGCGTTGACCATGATGCCATTCTAAACTAATCCCATCTGCCAGCACATCGTCCATATCCCTCGATTCCCTGCCTCTTCATGTGTCTGTGTAGATGCCTGTTAAATATTGCTATCATATCTGCTTCTACTACCTCTCCTGGCAGCATGTTTGAAGTACATAAAAAAACTTGTCTTGCACATTTCTTTTATGCTTTAATCTTCTGGAGTAACCTACCATGAGGGACCTTGTCAAACGCTTGTAAAATCCATGTAGACAACATCCGCTGTCCTACCCTCATCAATCATCTTTGTTAGTTCCTCATAAAACTCAATTAAAACTTCCCCTGCACAAAGCCATGTTGACTTTACCTAATAAGTCCATTTTTTTCCACATGTAAGTAAATCCTGTCCCTGAGAATCTTCTCCAATAATTTCCCTACCACTGATATAAGGTTCACCGGCCTATAATTTCCTGAATTATCCCTGTTCCCATTCTTAAACAAAGGAACAACATTGGCTATCCTCCAATTTTCTGGGGCCTCACCTGTGGCTAAAGAGGATACAAAGATCTCTGTTAAGGCCCCAACAATCTCCTCCCTTGCCTCCCTCAGTATCCTGAGTTAGATCCCATCAGGATCTCTTTAATGTTTTAGAAGGCATCGAGTACTACCCCCTCCTTAGTATCGACACATCCTAGAATATAAAGACACCCCTCCATAATCAAGAAAACTTCAGAACACAGTAGACTGCATACTAGTGTAATTAACAGAGAGGTGTAAAGGTACCAATAAGCCTGGTGTATTACAGATTTGTGCATTCATGTTCCTCGGTTCTTAGCCGAAAAGGTATCAGTATTTGTCATTTTCATCTGCATTCAAACTTTTTTTTAAAATGCATTTAAAATGAATTTATCAATTTTACCAAAAGTATGTAAAGGGAAAGTATTTTTAAAATGTTGCTGCACTGGACCATATTTTTGAATCTTGTCTTTTTTCTTTGTCTTGAAACTATAATTTGCCCAGAGATGACAAATGCAATAAGTCTTTTATTACAGGTTGCAGTTGGAGATTGGTGTTATATGCCGCTGTACTGTAAAAAATCAAAGACCTGGTGAGCATAAGTGAGATATATCTTAGCAGCAATCTACAAATTCCAGGAAAATGTCAATTTACCTAAGAACTAATTGGTATTTGATTTATACAAACATTTAAAACTTACCTGTGTGACATGGCAAAAAATGAAATATGGCTTGCACCTTACAGCTTTAACAAAACCTGCAAAAGAGCAACTTAATGTATTTCTGGATTTTATGGTACGACATAAAACATAAACTTTGAACATTCAGAATAGCTTGGCACTGAGAGAAAATATTTATAATGGCACCAGGAACTTCTGTTGGAGAATCTGTTTCTTAAGGATTAGTGTTTTAAGTAGCCCTTTCAATTGTCAACAAGCTACTACTGAAAGTGGGCTCTGCAGCTAAATCTCACCTGTCATTGAAATTTTCCATTTGCCTATCATCGTTATTACAGTTAGTATTGATTTCTATATCTGGTGGATAATAGAGATTGTAATAATTATCCATAAGCAAGCCTTTGTCATGAGACAATTTTTGAACAAATAAAAATAGAAGAATACTCCTAAAGTAATTGGCAAAAGAAGCAATCGAGACTTAAGGAAAATCTTTTTTTTCATATAGTGAGTGATTAAGATCTGGATTCACTACCCGAGAGTAGTGAAAACGGATTCAATCGTGGATTTCAAAAGAGAATAACTAATGATTTACTAGCATAAATACTAGTTTCAAAGCTAGGTATATCTTTGATTTTGTTACCGCAAATTGCACAGAAATATCTCCTTTTCCTTAAACAAGAAATTTTGTTCCCAAGAAATCTAAGGCTAGTTCATGCCCTTTTCCATTGAACTAGTCATATAAATCATATGATTGATTATTTATGTTAGCCACAGCTTCTTAAGTAAAGCTATTTATTGACAGACTGTTTCAGATGAGGGTACTGAAATCTTGAAGAGTGTTTCATTAAAAACAGATTAAGTTAATTCCAATCTGTGTTGACTTTACTCGTGGTAAACTATATGTGATAGCACATCACCCAATCAGAGTCCAATACTGCTTTGTCTTGGTGATATTAAATAAACGTTACTGTGAACATGATCATTTCTTCTGATAAGTCATTGCTGTGAGCTCAAACAAATGACATTCAAACCCTGTAACTTGCCAGTAATTTACATCATGTACCATTTCAGCGGAAACAAAGTGCAAGAAGGCTAACCTAGGAAGACATTCCACTGACAAATTTACTGGAAATCCAGGGACATCCAGAAAACCAGGGATTCTAAATAAGGAAGATGTTGAAAGACTTGAATGTACCAATTCAAACAAAAGTGGAAAACGAAGCAACAAAGATGGAGACTGCAGCCCCAGCCCTAAAAAAAAGAAGCTGGAACAGTTGTTTAAAAGTAGCCATGACTTGTCTGGTGATCCCTCAAGAGAAAAATTTGGTTATCCTGTTTCTGGTCGTGGTCCATCCCAGTATGTGTACAATATGACGCAAACTAGCAATCTTCATAAAACTACCTCATCTCCTGTACCTCAAAAGCCTCTGTTTGTAGGCCGGAGTGGACAGGAACTTGAAGTCAATAAGTTGACCACAGCACAAGACAAATATCCATCACCTGTTGACAGCCAGTTTCCTGCTCGACAAAGGCACAAGCATCAAGAGGGTGATACATTCAACAGGCCAGGAACTTCCTCACAACAAAGTGCTTTATCTCTGTCCAGCACCAGAGGTGAAGTAGACTCCAGGCCTCAAGAAAAGGCTAGTGAAAAGCATTTAAACTCTGGTTTCCTTCAAAATATTGAAGAAGGTAGCTGTGCTTTATCACCAGAGAATTCAGGTGGACGACATGGGGGTGTCACTGAGGAGGATCTTCCAACAAGCCAGCCCTCATCATACTGTCCAAACTGTGTAATACTACAAGAGGAAATTCGAAAGCTTCAAGAGGAACTAGATCGGTTGAAGTCTAACTTGCCAGGTAAGTCACCACATATGAAGTCTCCCAGAAGATTGGAGGTTCATGTGCTTGCTTTTACAGTTTGCTGGTAATAAGTTTGATTTTTAAAGCTGTGGCTGGCACTCCAACCAGCTTGTCAGCCTGTCTATCGTTTTCACAGTTCTTTGCTTTAAGGGTGGGAAAACTCACCAGTCAGAAAGTTATGCTTCTTCAATTTGTGGGCAATTGCCTAGCTTGTTGATCCAAGTAATAGTCTTTGTGCTACATATGCATAGCTCTTGCAAAGAGGGAGGAAGACTATTTAGATGTGTTGCCATGTGCAAGAGACGGGGAGGGAGAATGAAAGAGGACAGTGAGGAGATTCAAATATTAAAGAGAAACAAAGAGACAGTATCCTGTTTGTTGGCCTGCATAGGTTGTATTTTAAATCCGTGCTTCTTTCATAGATCATCTTGTGTGGATAATATTTTATTTTAGGGTTTCTGAATGGTAGGTGGACTTCCCCGAGTCAGGCCAGAAGACACCTTTCTTAAAAAAAAAAATTCTGTGAGCAGAACCAAGTCATTTTTATGGCTACTGTTATGTATGATATGGTTTGAGTACTCAGTAGAAACAAAGCCTGTAGCTGACTTTAGCATGCACGTGCATTATTGAACAGTTCTAAAATTCTGAACTGTACAACTCCAAGTTCATTCATTTGAAAAAATCAAACATTTATGCCAGTTTATCAATTAGAAACCAGATCCTGTCTGCAACTAGAGTTTGAACCAATGCTGATTTTTGTATTTTCATTTGCATTTTGATTTTGTATTCTTTCAAGTTATGTTTAGTTACCAATTATTAGTAGTTGGAGAAATAATTCAAACAACCATTTCAAATTTAAGGACCAGGGTTAGGATTGAGTGAGGAAAATGAGTGACATCAAAAGTTTCAAAAAGAAGTGATGGAAAATGAGAGAAAGATGTTGAGCTGCAGATGATGGAAGAAGCACAGCTTGATTGCACTTATACTGCCAAGTAGTTTTTCTCTTCTTAAGCAAGTAATTAGTTTAACCCTTGTTCAGTTAACTTTGTCCCTTTATACCTATTTTTCCATTCAGCCTGTTCAGAGATGTTATTACACACATCTGGAGCAGGTGGACTTGAACTGGGCCTCTCAGTCAGGAGTAGGGATACTACCATCTGCACCACAAGAGGCCCCCAAGAAAAGGACCAATTACTCATCAAATTACTTTGACAGCGATGGAATATCTCTTGTAATAAAGACTACAAATTTAAAACATAACTTTTTCTATTTTATATTTGAGGGAAGGTCAACTTTTTAATTTTTATTCCTTGTATGGGATCTCTTAGAAACCCTGGTGAGCAACATTTCCCTTTAAGGTTCAGCCATATTTCGGTCTATTCTTGCATTCCCAATCAAGACAATTCCTTCCCTTCTTATTGCTAAGTTATCTCAGTGACTCCCTTGTTCTCTATCTAGATGCGATCACTAGGATTGAGTTATGAATAAGACAACACATACACTCTGTTGTATCTTAAAAGAATAGAAGTTCAGGTTTGCTGGTTTGTCTATTTTTGCTTATGAGTTGATAATCATATTTTGAATGATGCAACCTTCAGAAATCTAGAGCAAGGCATATAGATGGTCAGGTCTAAGACGGCTGTTAAATTTACAACATTCACAGTGCAGCTTGCAAAATAAGCATTATGCATTTCATACACCGTGACTGCCTTGATTCTTTTTATATATTTCTAATACAGAATGCTTTTTCATGAAAAGGCTAGTTATGTTTGATGCATGTTGTACTTAAAAACCCTTACGAAAACCGTAGCTGATCTCAGCTGTGGGTCCTATGAAATGTGCTTTCAGTTTATTTAGTTTCTCATTTTATTGGCAGGTTTTGAAACTTTTAAGTTCATTAAAGAGCTTAAATTAGTGTTCCAAGCAAACTATTCAAATTTTGAATAACTGATATGTGACACATATATGTCAGTGGTGAGAAACAAAATATCGTCGTGCAATATGATCACATATTTTACTTTGATCTTGTTTGAAGTGAACTAAATCTTGAATCAGATTTCAGTCATTGCAGCATGTACCTTGGTAAATGCAGCTGTTCTTTATGAGTAATCTATCTATTTTTCTGTAGAGTTATATTCTATCTATAACACTTGTAGTATATTTTCAACTGGAAAACACACTTTGTATTTACTTATCATCTCAGAAGTGATGAGGTTTATATAAGCAGAACATTGAAAGGAATGGTTTACTGGTTCTTTGAAAGAGAATATGGGCAGGAAGGTCGAGTCAGGTAATTTGCTGATTCAACAGACCGTTTCTTTTAAAATTGTCCTGGTCTGCCAGATTTTTGTTCCAAGGTAGTGGGGATGGGATGGAGTCAGGCCATCACCTCTGCAGGCTGGCTTGAGTTAGGTGGATTGGCCATGCTAAATTGCCTACAATGTCCAAGGATGTGCTGGCTAGTTGGATTAACCATGGGAAATGCAGGGTTACAGGGGTAGGATATTGGGATGGGGTCTGGGATGCTCTCCTTGGGCCAAATGGTCTGCTTCCACACTATAGGGACTCTGACAACATTTCAAGGCAGGTATGCTGAAATGCCTGCCTCCGTTTAACCATCTGTTATAATAATAAATGTCAGGCCGTCAAATCTTCAACTCAGAACCACCAACATGCTTCCTCTGTGCTTTCTAATGCCTTTTTTGCCCTTCATGTCTCCTCCTGCCTCTCATGTCCTTTCCATATCCCTTCATATTCTCATGTCCTCTAAATTTCTTTGAAATGGACATCTGAAAAAAAAGCTTCTAACCACTAACTAGAGCTTTAATTCAAACACACCTCACCTGGAAAAAAAGGTCTAATTCATAAAAACAATTCAAAAATATTAAGTTGCAAAAGTATTCACTCTGTTATAAAATCAAACTCGTGACGAATCTGTGTGCCCCCTGGAAGACCAGGGGCATGGGCTGGGAGTGGAGCTGCCAAAGGTACAGATCTAGATGTGTGTATTCTGACTAACCAAATCTTTTATCATGCATCAGTGCAAATATAGGCCTTCATTTTCATATTTACTGGCAACGAAGAGTTTTTTTTGGTTGAAAAATTCAATTAGGCAAGTGAAGTTTTGGTTCTGACTGGATGATTTATTTGTCCATCACTGGAATGAACAATTTTAAAACTATGACCAAGTAATTTGTGGTGTAAGACTGCTTTGTGTCAGTAGGTGAGGCTGTTGCACTTAGTAAATATTTCAGGTCTGATTTGTTCAGGACCATAATTAATGGCTCTTTGTCTGCAGAGATTTATTTTATCATGATGATGGTTAACAGTCTAAGATGCTAATGGATGGCAGAACTTAGACTTCATTTTCTTGTACGTGTGTCTCAGCCACTAATGAAGTCTAGTTTTAAAAGACTACTTTCAATGACTGAGTTGTTCTCCCCTCTGTTACCTCTGTGTTCATGAATCTCAATCCAGAAGAGCAAAGAAGGAAGCATAATTCTGAAACTCACACTGCCTGTAGAAATAGCTATGAAAAGATGATATCCTGTTCGGATCATTGAGCTTTTTTCTATAGGACTATCTAATAAGTGATTTTTCTGACATTGGTAAATATTTAACCTGTTACATTTGAAAATTCCATTTCTCAGGGATATATGTGAGTTGGGAGATCTCTTTGGCTCTGTTGTCTGGTGGGCTAGTTTGTGATGTAGAATGATGTCACCAGAGTGGGTTCAATTCCCACACTGGCTGATGTTACCTTGGAGGATTTACCTTCTCAACCTCTCCCCTCACCTGAGGTGTGGTGACCCTCGGGTTGAACCACCACCACCACCACCACCAGTACCTATCCTAATGAGAGAGCAGCCCTATGGTCTGGTAAGACTATGGCAACCTTATCTTACCTTCACGTGGGTTGTTTAAACAATGTTTTCTTTTGTCATGGAAAGTAACCTTAAGTTTAGTCTTGACCATGTAGTTTAACCTAATTTTGTGTGACAATATTAACTACGATAGTCAGATACTTAAAATTCAATTTGGTATATTGCCAAATTTAGGGCAGCATAGTGGCTCATTTGGTTAGCACTACTGCCTCACAGCACCAGGGTCCCAGCCTGGGGTGACTCGGGGACAAAAGCAAACACCACAGCGTCTGAATGAGTTTTTTCCTGGTGCTCCAGTTTCCTCCCATAGTTCAAAGATATACAGGGTAGGTGGATTGGTCATGCTAAATTGCCCATAGTGTCCAGGGATGTGTAGGGTAGGTGGATTAGCCGTGGGAAATGCAGGTTTACAGGCATAAGATAGGGGGGTGGGATGCTGTTCAGAAGGTCAGTGTGGACTTGATGGGCTGAATGGCCTGCTTCCACAGTGTAGGAATTCTTTGAAATCATCAGTTAACCTTTCCAGTTGTCTTATTTGAATGCTGTATTATTCTTCAAGGGTAGAGACGTCTATAGTTCATATTTGCTAACTGATAGGTGTTCAGGCTTTGCAAGCTCATGAACAGATCAAAAGCAAGGAAAGGAAGCAGAAAGAAGTGCTGAAGAAGGCAAATTCTGATCAGTAGCTGTAGGAGGTACAACCATATAACAGGCGGTTGTTGACTGCTAGAAATGTGGCAAGTCATGAGACTGTGGATAGAAAATATTGTTAGAGTTACTGGGAAAGGGAAAATAAAGTAGTTAGTCTGAGGGCTAATTGCAGCCAGCAATTGTATGTAGAGGATCATAAACAGTCAGTAGATGAGTTGAAGTGGGAAATTGACAAGTGTGTGAAAGGGGTTGGTGAAAATCATGGTCTGATGGTAAGGGATGTGAAGCCGTGCTCAAAGTGAAGAGACATGACTAAAAGATATTTGACTATTTGCTGTGCTGAGACTATATTTATTTACTTTCTGTGTTCTTTCTTTGGATCTCTGTTTCTGACTCAGTGGAGGAGGTTGTTTGCCCACATTGTGCAGGAATATGAAGACGAGTGGGTATTATGAGGCAGGT